ATCAAATACATAGAATCATAAAAACTATGTGAGGTTTGTGACCACATTTTGTCAAGTTTGCAAACTCCCTTTAACTGACAAAATGGAGTTTTATTTGCTCTGAAGAATAGGAGGGAGGAAAAAAGAGACGAGGAAACAAAAAGGAAAAATAACAATAAAAGAAAAAAAGATTCATACACGAGAGAAAAGTCCTACTTGAATTAAATTATATCTTACTAAATTATTGATACCATATTCATCTAAATAGAACGTGAAATTGTTACTTAAGCAAATACATTTTTACTGTTGTCATTTCTCTGTCATAAATTCCAATCAGAAGAAAAAGAGATTTTTTTTTTTTAAGATTTTGAGGTCTGAATGGCAAATACGATTTAAAACAACACACAAATGCTGATGGCAACAGGTAAGTTTGTAACTCCCTCTCTTCTTTCATGAGAATGAAGGATGTAGTGAGAAAAATAATTTAGAAAGCTATTTTGTTTTGGTTTTACTAGTGAGCATTTCAGTGGTAAAGGTCAAGTAAAACACCTTTTCCCCCAGCAAAAACTTACCAAGGCTTGTGAAATGGAAAATCATGGATAAAGATTCTTTTAAACTATCTTTCTAAAGAATAACAAGAAAAATTGAAATAAAATGCATGCAACTGAACTGAAAGAGCAATGCAGTTTAAAACATCTTTCTTAATTACTTTTGAAAGGTGGGAACACACTAATGTGTTTTATAAGTTATATAACTAAAAAAGCAGCCTTCAAGTTAACCAATTTTGAAATTACTGAGATAACTAGCATTTACATTTAACAGCTGACATCTTGGTAGAAAAAAATCATCCCATGCGGTATTAATACTAATGGCTACACTACCATCAATTTGAAATCATAAGAAATTTTGATATGAGAGAAGTACATTTAAAGAATGGCTGGAACAGTGGTAACTTCCAAAACCTGGAGTAATCTTGAATTACTGGAAAGGGGGAAAATTTAGAAACAAAGGTCAAAATAATTAATTGTCCTCTTCTTTTGGCTGTAATCCTACAAAGATTCAGTAATGCTGTGGTGTTTACTCAGAGGTGCTTTCCATATTTATGGATAGGGGTAATCATTACAGTGATTTGGGCTGCCAGGTCTTAGCTTATTGACCAGTGCTTGGATTAGTAATGCCACCTGTCCTGCCTAATGTAACTAAAAAAGAAAAATGACCAACAGAAGCACAGAGCTAAAAGAAAATCACCTTCACATTTCTGACAGACAGAAAACTGAAAAAGCAAAACCCATATTCATAGATGAAAACATAGCAAAGGTCACAAGGCAATCAGGACAGTTCAGATCTTTCTTTGTTGCTGTGGACAGTTAAGACTACCAAAGTCAGTAACGGGAACACTTCGAGTGGCTTGTTTTAAGTATGACAACATTGCTTTACCTGTGCAACCATCAGGATCTTGAGTTTTCTCTCCCTACTCCTGCAGTCTCAGTGCACAGAATCCTGCATGCACAAAGAACAAGCCAAGCACCTCAAGATGAAGAAGAAATATTTGCAGATGCCTGCCTGTTTCCTGCCCTCTAAGTGAAGCAGGGCATTTGTGCAGCTTAATAGGTGCTGACTTTGTGGTAGCTGCAGTGAGATTAAAACCACGTGCAGTGCCATCTCCACACTCTGGCATAAAAATCCTGCTGTGTGCTAGCAGGGCTGACTTGTGCTGCCACCAGGGTCAGCAGAAACAGAGCAAGTTCCTTGCCTGGACTCTTGAAGCCCAGTGGTTTCTCTAGCCTGTGGCATGACAGGGAACCAAAAGTAGTTCTCCCCAAACCAATTTCATCCTAATGCACATGTACCATTAACAATCCACTTACAAAATAAATGTGCAAACACCCTCCCTCCCAATAAGGACTATTTCCTATATTAATGTCACTGTGTTATCACGAGGAATGTAATATAAATTTAAGTCTTCTTTCCCTAAATAATATTAACCTTCTTTCCAGTCAGCCAGATTTCAAATTGTTCCATTGTTTATGCTGCTTTCTGCTTCTGAATGCCTTCATTGTGCTTCTAGGAATAACTGAGTGACAACTAATTACAGTCTTCTGATCACATGAAGGAAAATAAAGAAAGTAGAAAGTAACTAAAAAACCTAAAGAAATTGGCAGCATCACAAGTTCTGCTTCTCTCTAAATGACAAACAGCACTTCCCCACTGTGTTACTAAAATCTGTAGATCATCTTACAGACAAAAGAAAATAAATTCCTTGCATATGCCGTATCTTTTGGCAAAAAATGACCTGAAAACTGCTTATCAGACCAGCTGGATAGAGGATGCTCACGCAATCTTCTATCGGGCTTCAAGAGACCAAAATATTTTTCAGCAACAGCAGCCAAAAGAGAACACCATGCTCCAAGGGAAACAATGACACGTTGAGTGGGGAAAACTAACGCAGAGATCAGCACTGCCTTCTCCTCTGGCTACGGAAACATGGAGAGGCACTGATACCACATGCTTTACCTGACCAGGCACGATGCCCTTGTAGCTGAACCATAGGCAACAAACAGGAGTTTGCAAGTGCAGTCATTCAGACAAGGATGAGATGACCCTCTCTAGTCATTTTTTCACCATTTCTAAATTACATATGAAGGAAAGGTATGGCAGCCCAGCTCCCTGTGCTACTCACCACTCTGAGAGCGTGTCTCTGTGAGGACAGGGACTGCGCTGCACTAATACTATACAGCATAGCTCACAGCTTAGGAGAAAACAATCTCAGAGTAGCTAATAACCAGACAGCTTTATTGCTAGCAGCAGCAACACCTGAGGAGAAAGATGGACAACTGCCTCGCATTCTCCCATTTTTCAGCTGTGTTGTTTTCGCACACCATGCAAATTTGAGCTGCCAAACCCGACTGCAAGCACAGAATAGGGGCTACTTAAATTCCCATTTCTCCAGTACACTAAAGAAATCAGACTTTTCCCAAGCAGTGCAAGAAAAAGAGCTGTATTTATCGCACAGCTACAGTTCCCTGCCCATCATGCCTTCAACAGCTGTAGTGAGTGAGCTGGTTTCTGATGGACAGCCGAGACGCAGTAATCTGAATCCCACCATCCCACTGCTTTTTCAGTGCTGATAGCTGATGTTACCCTCATCTCACTTGCTGGTTCGCTTTTTTTTAACGTTTTGACACTAGTCTTGAAAAGGAAGGATTTAAGTTAAACCCTTTTCAATAACGCAAATGTGTTTTTTGCAATTAAAGCCACGCAATTAGCAATGACAAGCTCAGGTCAGCAGAACATAGATTATGCTGTTCAAATGCTCTGCCACTCAGTGCCTCCAGCAAAAACCTGCAGGAGAGGAGAAGAGGAAAAAAAAAAAATCTCACACACATTATTTAACAACTTGTGCTCTGATGCACACCACCACTTGTGGATTTGTGGAGGAAGGTTCATTTATTTATTTACTTAAAATCCCGTAGGCTCTGGCCTCCTTCTCCACTGGTTGTATTCCTTTCAGACAACAAGTACTATTCCTCACGGCAAGAAGGTTGGTAACATTTAGAATTAACATCTCAAAAATAAATATTAAGCAAATTTTAAAAGTCATAAAATCCTTGACTTAAAAATGTTTCCCTTCATTCTCCACCAAAAAAACTAAGTGTTTGCTTAAGATCTTCCTCACTCAGCCACTTGTATTGCCTAGACAAAGAAAGCAGATTCTTCTGTCTATGTGATGACACACTGATTAATTTTAATTGCATACTGTTCTTTTTATTTGAAGTATGTAAACAGTGCGTGTGTGCATGTATAAATCACAAAACCAGAAAGCTAAGTGTTAGAAGCTAAAAGAATTTCTAATTTCTAATCAGCTGTATTTAGTTGTTTCCTCAGAAATGTCTTTGTTTCATTAATATTAACACTGGCACCTGCAGATTTTTAATATTAACATGGTGACTTCCTTCTCCCTGTAGATAGACAGAACCAACCATATATTTTAAATCCAAAAGTGGTATCATAGCAAAATGTAAGCAAACAAATCACTTTACCAGCACGATCGACGACTATCACCTAGTAAATGAAATGTTGATTTTGGACTTCAGATCTTGATCCCATTTCTGCACAATCTCTCAAGAAAATCTTGCCACATACATGCTTATGCCATCAGTTAACTGACCACAGTACTTTAAAATTAGTATGCACAATCTGATTCAAATATTCCTATGTCTGCAATTACTCCCTTGCTTTTAATGGTTATGAGAGATAAGGGCCCTGACCTTAGAAATAACACGCTACAATGTGGTAGAATTTCATATAAAGCTGAGTTCAAGTCAGTATTTAAATATAACTTTAAAGCACTATATTTATTTTTGTTTCCAGCTCAGTGATAGATAAGAAGCACTGGAAATCCCCAGGACAACAACAGCCTGTTCCTTTGCCCTCCTATATGGCAAGTTTATTCCTTTTGCAGAACAAGAAGATTACCACATGAGATTGGGAATTCCCAGTATAGGATTCGCAATTCGGTATCCTCGTGTGTCTTTGAAATTCTTAAAAAAGAAAAAGGGGAGGGAAATTATATATCTGTCCTGTGTCCCTTTTTTTTTAAGTAATATTTTCATTACTTTAGGACAGAAAATTGACAATCTCTTCCTGCTAGCACTAACTATATACATATATAAAAATATATATATACACTTATGTATATTTACATGCACATACACACACATACAATTTCCTCCCTCATCCCTATCCTCCCACCCTCAAGGCATTTGGGGTACAAACACAAGCTAATTCTTGAGTTTCAGCTAAGGACTTGTACCAGGCTGAAAATTTTCCTTTTAAAGCCAGTTTAGTTTTTATAATTCAAAAGAAAACCAGCACAAATCCTTCAGCACACTTTATTCTACAGGTGATGTTAACAAAAAAAAAAAAAGTCAAACCCTGTGACCTGTAGTTTTAGTTACACCAAGGAGAAATTTCTGTGGAATATGTAATGAAAATGCAGATATATAGATCACATTTCTTACCATGTCCCCAGGCTTGACAGAAACTGCCACCACTGTTCCAGGCATGGGAGATCTCAAAATGCTGGAGGTGTCCTCTTCTGCTTTCTCTGGCATGTACTTGCTCAGCTCCGCAGCAACCTTCGTCAGTATTTGTAATTTGTACTAAAGAATAGGAAGAGGAATGTTTTAGACAACTGCACCTTGGTGAATTCCAGTCAATAATCTGCACTATTTTGTGTCATGTTTTTATGTAATACATCTGTTATCTATTCTTCACAGGGGTGTCTGAAAAACACTGTTTGAAATCTTTATTCAGTTTCATTTTCAGGATGTAGAAAGAAAAATACGCAACCCCAATCTGAGGCAACGTGGACATAAAAGGAAAGAATCAAGTACAGTAAAGAGATGTCATATTCATTTTCATTAGAGGTAGAGAGGAAAGATGCAAATTTAAAAAGAGAAATGCCCTTATGCTTGCTGCACATCATCTTTGGTGAATAAGGAATATTGAGGTATTCATTTCCACTGCAATTGTACTGAATTGCAAATTGACCTTTTAGGAAAGTCTTCCAGACTTTAAACAACATGACTGACCTTAAACATTATGTTTAGTTTTTCAACATTTCTTTTGACCACGTATTTAGTGTTTGAAGTTAATAACTTGCTCAGATTTTACAATTAAAACATATTAAACAATTTCAATTCTGTTCTTTCAGATGATGAAACGTTGTCGTATTGAAAATACTTCATCTGTAATAAAAACTGTTTAGCAGCTATTATCTACATTGAGAAAAAATGTTTTCTCTAAGTATTTTTTATAGCAATTAGAAATGGAAGAGAATATGATGACCCTGAAGTGTCTAAGAGTATCTCTTTAAACAAACCTTTCTGAAAAAATATAGATGTTGCCTAAACTGATTTCAGCTGCAGGCTGTTAGTTTTTAAAAACTGTCGACTATTTTAATCACTGAGACAGTTCCTTGTCCTCAGACAGACAGACGGTCTTCCCGTTTGTCCCAGGGCACCTGAAAGGAATTGCAAAGAGCCAGTAGATGGCAGCAGGTCTCTGCGTGACACTCCCGCCTCGCCAAGGCCAGCCCGGCGAAGACCATCACCACACTTCATCAATAATTTAAACAAAGGTTTTTATAATAAGCATTGGATGAACTGCATTTACAATTCAAATGTGTATTTTGCCGATGTAAAGTTCAACACCTTGCTTGGAACAGTATGTTTTCCTCCAAAACAATTAGCTATTGTTTTATTAACAATAAAATGTCTTTACTTTTCATTTTTACATGGACAGAAAAAATCCGATATCCTTATGGTGAAGGTAAAGGGGAACTCTACCTTCTGCTTCTGTAGAGAGCACAACAAGGTATTTAGAAATACATGCAAAAGGTGATTAACTCTGCAATGACATCTTTAAAGAGCAGCTTTCAAAGGCAAATTAAAACAAGGTAATGGAGGATTATCACCATCCACGAATAGCATGTGGACACACAACATTTTGTGCAATGAACGGTGCAACCATTCACTTAGAAATACTTGCTTCAATCAGAAATATAGGCAAATGGTTAAACGAACCAATTCCCCCCAGCTCACCCCAGTAAGTGATAAAATGCCACAACAATATTCCCTAACGCCGTAAGGGGCACCCGAAGATTTGAGGACCCATTCCCAACCATGTGGCTTGGTTACAATGATGTAGCTCAGGGAAATCAGCCCCATTTTGTATGCAAAAAGCAGCTTTAACTCCAAGCCTCCCGCAGGCATCATCATGACAATTAAGAATGTGGCGCTCACATTCTCCAACCCAAAATACAGCTAGTTCTCTCCTAGCTCAAGCATCCGCGTTTCAGCGTGATGTGCTCACTGCAGCCTCTTTTTTTGGAAGAGAAGTGCGCGTGTGCGTGCACATACACACACTTCCATGTAGGCTGTAGGGAGAGGGGAGGCGATGCCTATAGGAGAATTGGTGACATAAGTTGCAAATAGAATTGCGGCAGTGTGACAAGTCAAATAATAACATCTTATGCATGTTTCTTTACTCTTGAGTGTCTGTTTTGCAATCAAGACATACAAGTGTCTGCCAGTTTCTGAAGGATATGATCCTTAAGTGAAATTACTGTGCAAATAAAAGCTTTTTACTCCTATTAAAATTCATCTGAGTCATAAGTGGCAAGGAAAAAAAGCTTGCAGAGTGTATTCTGCTGTCAATCTAATAAACATTCTGTTCAGAGGGACTATTTACCAAAGATAAATTGTACTTAAAAGTCCTTCATTAAATCTATGGGGGGGAATATAATTACACCAAATTGCACAGTTTCAGTATCCATGGTTAGTGTCTTCTTTGTACTCAGAGTTTGAAAATAAATAATTTTTTTTAAAGCAAAAAGGAGAGAAAAAAAGAAAAAAGGAAGAACACAGAAATAAGTTAGATTTGTGGACTGTATTATTGCCTCTTGCAAGAGACTATTTTAATATGATTTAAAAGGATTAGGTGTATGTGCCATTTAGTTTTTGAAGCCACATATAACACTTCCAAGCTGCCCAATTTCAAATTTAAACTTGAAGAGAAAGCCAGACCTTCATCTAGGTTACAGTATTTCACAGGGGCTGAAATACAGAATTCCCTATGCACTCCACCACGTACAGCAGTGGGGGAAAAAATCACATTCCTCGGCATGCTGCACTTTAAAGCTCGGCTCTCCACACCAAGCTAAAATATCCCTACCAAACATTGTTTTTACTATCTTTATAATTTTCATATCTTTTAAATTCCTTTCTCTGCAGGACTCCTGCTTTACTTGGAGTGAGATGTAAGAGTCAGTACTCTCAAAGCTTTAAAACGCAGGTCTTTGTTATTGATGAGCTGTTCCTTTTCCTTTTGTATTTGTTTATTGTTCTTTAGTCTGTTTGGGGGATAAGCAAGTTACTGTAATCAGAAAGTAAAAAATAACAACAGTAAACTTCTGGGGAAAGGCCTTTTTTGGCACAGTTGGTTCACAAATGACCTTTCAGAATAAAAAAAGACAAAGCCGAAAAAAAAGGTTCCTTCTTTAAGATTACCTTTGATGTATTTCGGCTGTTGGCTGGACAGCCCTAAATACCTGCATAAGTATCCCTCTGTGACTGCTGCTACTTATCCCTGGGGATGAGTTGTGGAGTGGGGTGCAGGGCGCTGCTCACCTAACCAGGGTGCAGCCTGAAGCTCGGGGAGATCACACCAAACAACGCCTGCCAGTGCTGCCACAGCAATTAAGAATATCCCACATTTTTTCATTACATGACGAACACGTTGCTATGCCTTTGATTTAGCGAGGACAATGCTGAACATAGGAAGCAGAAGTTTTGATATGCTACTAACCGAGTGCGGATGAGGTTCAGATTTTTTTCCTTTACCCTCAGGAGGAGGAGGACATGGGAGAAAGAAGGGGTGTAAACTGGGGAAGGCTGTGAAGTTTGGGTTATAAATAGTGACCAGGTGGTTTTCACTGGCCTACACCAGCAGAAACATTTGTTGGAGTCATAAATAGATTGCAGGTGGACTCTGAGAGCAAGGAAATCTGCTAGCCATCAGATCTGCCCTGATGAGTAGTTGTCACCAGCCACTGCTTCACTCCACAGGGTTTCAAAGTCTAATTCTGCCAGCCCAAGTCAAGTCAATAAAGCGGTACCAAAAGGAGCCATACAGCTTTTGATGACATAGAAACCAGGTGTTTCTTTTCCACCAGACTGCTGGGAGTCCACAGTCAGGTGACAAAAATTATAGTAGGGAAAACTGATGTTACTTAATAGTTTTCTAAGGGTAACAGTATCCTGTCTCCCACTAAATGAATTGGATGTTTATGTAATGCAACACTACCTCTTACAACCAAATGTCCGTGACAACAATAAGAACATTACAAGGTGCAATAACAAGTAAGGGGGAGAGAGGGTAACTGTGTAGCAGGGGTTGGGGGCTAGCTGGAGAACAGTAAGCAGGTAGGGTGAAAATTATACCTTGGGTTTTGTGGAGGTTTTTTATTGATATACTGATCCTCCAAGTCACTAGACAAGTAGACTAGCTGCTACAAAAAAGGTGGCCAGAGCATATATGGCCCCATCTGTGCTTAAAAACAAGCTCTGTAGTTTGCACAGATATGGTTCCCTTACCATTTGCAACAGAACATTGCAAATCTTCACTAAAATGCTCAAAATTGCACTCTCACATTAGTTTGTTAAATATGATCTTCCTTGTACCCTCGAAATTCATGTCCCAGAAGCTGTAAACGTTCAAATTCCACTGCAGATTTTATAGAGCAATCACTACCCATATGTTTCTTATGACAGTGTTTGGACTGCTGACCAGATGTGGATTTTCAGTATGCTTTACCTAAATGTTCAACCATGTTTTTCAAATGTCTGTCATTCTTGTGGTCAGAAGGGCGAAAATCTTAGGCAGCTCAGATTTCAGTACAGAAATTGTCTGCTCTGTGTCTTCATTATTTTCACTAGCCTCACAGTCTCATTTTCGGAACCAGTGAAATGTGTTAACAGTGGTCACATAATTTTCCTTTAACATTCCACATCCTGCCTCGTTACTTAACTGTTGTCACCTGCGCTTTGACGTCACTGACTCACAAGGAGTATGTTATTCAGTATTCAGTCCAAGCAACACCAAGCAGCGTTCCAGTTCTGAACACAATGAGCACACTGCCTTTTTTATTATCATTATACACTTAACCATCATGACCGTACCCTTGCTTAGATTTCCACCACAGCACCTAAACAGGAAAATGATGTATTTATTCCATAGGACACGAAGATGTCAGGCATTACTTTCTTTCAGAGTCAAGGATTCCTTACTCAACAGGGAGATAAATGACATTTTGCAAATCACTGAGGCTTTTTTCCCTGAAGACTGAGTTCTAGAGCTGATTCACTTCCACAGGGTGGTGGGCAGGACCAACATTAACACCTGCACAAAATATCGGCACTTTTAGTCTGATGGCGGAGCAAACACTCAACATGCTATGGAGACAGCTGATAAATAATAATAATAATAAAAATACCAAAACAGCCACAAAAATCATGAGCCTTTAGTAGCAGCGAAAGGGAAAGAAAAACGAGAGGAGCCTCACCACCACGTAGTACACACTCCAGCAGCAGAAACTTAA